AATTTTATTCTAATTTATTTACAAAGTTTAAATACATTGTTTTTCACAAAAGATCCTTCCCATTTACTTCACCCCAAATACAAAGATTTTCCTATTGAACACCTAAATATTAGTTAGACATTAAATATACATATTTGAAAATGATGTACATTAATTCTGACTTGTCCTCTGGGAAAATAAGATCTAGGAAATGTCTAAAGCTAATAGTTGCTTGCATTTTATCGATTCATTATTCATTTTTTTACCATTGAAAACTACCTTCCTGTGTGGCAGCAGGACTCCTAGATTTTTATTAGAAAATTTGTATCAGTTGTCTCATTTTTCTAAAAAACTAGTCCTTTTTATTTTCTTTATGTAATAATATCCAGTGACTACGTGTTTTCTTAATACAGCAGGGCACCAGTCATTAAAATAAGACATTATGATAATAAATCAAAGATTTGTCTTGCTATACATTAATTTTTAATATTTTTCTTCGTTATTTTTGTCCCATGCTCGAATAAATGTGGTCTTGTGACATTGTGGTTAAGTACCTGACAGTTAACTAAATGGTCAGTGGTTCTAATCCATAACTCCTCCTCTAAAGAAAGATGGGGCAGTCGGGCTCAGTAAAGATTACAATCCTGGAGACACTGGAACAATTCTACTCTGTTCTATAAGATAACTGTTAGTAAGAATTTACTCAACAGTCATTGCTTGTTTGTTTGTTTTGTTTCTATGGTGGTGTACATTTTTAGTGACACAGTTCATATGCTAAAAGCAAAACTGATCTTTGCTTATATTCATCAAACTAAAGCTTTTATTATCTTCCTTTGTTCAGTTTGATTGTTCTCACTTATTTTTCTTTCTCCTCTTCTTTGTTTTTGTGGAATGACGGGAAAATGGAGCATTTTATAACCTTGGTCAGAGAGTTCTCTATGTTTTCAGATAGAAAAAAAAAATCTACTGCTATTGAGTTTGTGCGAGCTCATGCCAATTCCTCATCAGGTTCCAAAACAGTAAAAATAAGGGAAGCTGACTGCACATCGTTCCATCAAGGAGCACTGAGTGTGTGGATGAAACTACCAATATTTTTACAGATTACAAATATACGTACAAAGACTTCTGAATATCATAGCAACAAGTTCTTGTTATGACTTTATCAATAATTTAATAGGAGCAAAGTGGAAAAATTTTGTTCCATCATGACTTTTGAATACATATGTTGATTGACTTGCGTCTAGATCAATAAATTGATAGATCTGCCTCTAGAAAGCAGAGAACCAGTCAAATGAATCACTGGCAGACTCCCATTAACTATAGAACTGTTTATTTTCATTAAAAAAAATTTATTTGAACAATACCGATGAAAGGAATAGAGAGATATACCAGTTACAATCTAATAGAAAAGGTTGTACAGAATAAGAAGTATTCAAATACAAGATATCATCAAGAATGAATGTATTTCTTCTGTTGTTAAGCACTTTCTTATATGTAAAGTCTAGCATATACATAAAGAAACAAAAATATGCAAAAAAGAAAACAAACCTTTCTTTAAGAAAGAAGTCTTTCTCCAATAGGGATTGTTTTTGGTCACTGGACTGATCATGATTCAATTTGCTTAAATGAGCAAATATAAGTAAAATTATGCCTTCTCTCATTATTTTATTCTGCTTTTTTATTGATTAGACCAACAAAGAGATGTGGCATGAACCCGTAGAGAAATTATCTCCTGGGAAGAACACCCACAGTGGTGGGCATTCCCACCTGCATCTGCAGGATAGTCACCAAGGACTCTAGTTTTCTCACACTAGCTAAGAACTTTGTGTTGTAATGCAGGAAATAAAAAACGGAAGAGAAATACTAATTAGTAAATTTATCAGACATTTGGAAAGTTAGAAGAGTTCTCTAGAGGATATGTGACTTAATCTTCTGCTTGCAGAAAAGATAATAATGGAAATACAATTGAATAAGAAATACTTGGTTCTTCTTTTATCTGCATGATTTACACAAGAGGTTATTTACTACTTTCCATTTGAAATAATGACAACCCTCACTTCATATTTTTTATCTCTGCTGTATCTATATTATGCTGTGGATACTCAGGAAGCACTAAGGAATGCAAAAATCATTCTAATTCAAACAGGAAAATTCATACAGATACTAGGCTAAGCAATCAATGAAGCAAAAGGAAAAAATCACAGCATGTGATGCTGAATTTACACACATTAGCAACAGAAGGCAGTTGCTGTGATTTCAGGACACAGAAGAAGATGATGAAAACAATTTCTAAAACTGTGGTGTTTCTTGAAGAGCAAACTTCACACTGAGGTTTGGCTACCAGGAGCCAGAACTTAAGTAATAAAAAAAAAATAAAAAATAAAAATCCCATGAAGCAGAAGGTAAGAGAGAGAAGTAATATCCTCTCTTAATTATGCTTCAACTCTGCCTAGTGTTAAAGAAGTCTAAGCAACATGTAATCAAATTATTGCAACTGAATTTAGCTTACCTAAACTCTAGAATATTAAGACTCCTCAATTAGCATTTTAGAAAGAAATAATCTTTTTTAATAAAATTAAGACTGAATAGTCATGTGCAGTGTCTTTGTAGAAATTTGGTATCTTGGTTTAATCAGTTTCCTGTCTAGTAAAAGACTGCTATATGCATCTCTCTTAGAGCTAAGGATTTTGAACATTTCTCCATGTCCTTGTTGGCCATCTAAATATCTTCTTTGGTGAAGTGTCTGTTCATATCCTGTGCCCATTTTTCAATTGGAGCAAAATTTAACAGAACAGCAAGTAACAAATGCTGGCAAGGTTGTGGAGAAACTGGAACCCTTTTCCACAATTGGTGGAAGTGAAAAATGGTGCAACCACTGCTGAAGGCAGTGTGGCGCTTTCTCAAAAAGTTGCAAATAGAGATACCGTTTGACCCAGCAATTCCACTACTGGGAATATACCCCAAAGAGACCATAACTGACAGCCAAGCAGACATATGCACACCCATGTTTAGCGCGTCTTTGTTCACAATAGCAAGGAGTTGGAAACAACCTAAGTGCCCATCAACAAACGAATGCTTAGAGAAGCTGTGGTATAGTCACAGAATGGAATACTACACTACATTGAAAAACAAGGAACTTAAGCAATATTATAAAAATGGATGACCCTGGAGGACTTTCTGCTGAGTGAAATATCTCAGTCACAAAGGGACAAATACTGCATAGTGTCACTGTTGTAAAACAGGACTGACATCGGGGTTGGGGGGAGACTGAGAAAGAGGGAATAAATGGTGTATACTGCATTTAAACAGATGAGGGAGAAAACTGTTTAAAAGGGATATGTGATTAGGTATTATTGTCATGACAGGAGTCCAGAACGAAGGCTGCATAGTGGAGTAGACCTGGGGGGAGTGATTGTAAAACAATGGGGGAACTTCTATTTACTTTTCAAAGAGAAGGGTGTACTTGGAGGACGGGGTGGGCAGGGAGAAAAAAAAAAAGACTGCTATTATTGTTGTGTACCATCAAATTGGAACCAACCCATAGCTGACCCTGCAGTTAATCGCACAAGAGGAGACTGCCTATCTTTCTACTGTGGAACAGCTGGTGGCTTTGAACTGCATGACTTCAGGATTGCAGCACAGCTTCTTGCCACTAGACCACCAGAGCTCCCCAATAAAAGCCTATAACTAGTAAAAATCCAGTGTAGGTGCATATCAACACATTGTAAAATATCTTAGTAATTACAGAATATAGCTCTAAACCAAAATAAACTAAAAATACTAGAGTTTAGCAAGCACTTTCTTGACAAGCAAATATTGTGCTTTAATGAAATAATCATTTGTTGACTGGAAGTCTCCAAATCTTTGAAGAATGTTTAAGCCATATTTTTTTAATACTTTTTATTGGGAAAAACATATTGGGGGTACAAGGAGGTGAGGGTTGGGGGCAGAAGGTTGAGGATGGGCCAGGACAGTTTGGTTGGTGGGGGGAGCAGGTGAAGGAAATTATGAGGGTCCAGTGGGGACCAGATGCTACAGAGGAATTACAAACATTTTCCAATAGTAATTAAACCAACTGTCTTATTGATTTGGGAATTGGATGCCGACTCTCTGGCTTCTTCATGCTGAACAGGGGCATAGATGTAAAGGGGGGAAGGGAGGACGCTTTATCACCTTACTGGTGGTCTTGGGTTACAGCTGCTTGCCTTCTTGCTCTGTTAGAAGATATTTTCCTGTCATTTGCTCCCCTCTGGACTGCAAAGTGTTTTCCCAGGTGGGTCCAGTGGGGATGGCTGGTTGAACCCAGAGGCTCCATCATCCTTTGCTTCCTTAGCTGTCAGTTGTATTTCCTTTTTGTCACTGGCACTGGGTTCAGGGTCAATTCTGGAGTAAAACTCAGTGTTAAGGTTACCTATAGGAAAGGGAGCAAACCTAGAGAGAACAAACTTGTGAGTTACAAATAGAAGGGCTTTGAGGGTGTTGCTTTCAGGTTTACTGGGGGTGGGGAGTGGCAGAAGGTGGCCTAGGTAACATTCTCTGGATACCCTAGGCATTCTTTTTTTTTTCCTTCTCCTTCCCCACCCAGGGGTCAGATGGCACAATCTGGGGACTGAGGAGCTCACCCTGAGGGCCATGACAGCTCACCCCAGGCAGAGGGCCGAGGGCAGCCTGCCCCGGGCAGTGGGCCGCGACGGCTCTCCCCAAGCCGGGGGCCAAGGGCCGAGGGCAGCCCGCCCCG